ATACATACATACATACATACATACATACATACATACATACATACATACATACATACATACATAAAATAAAATATATACAGGAAAATACAAAATAAATTATTTGCTCAATAGAAAGATCTGCCAGCAGGTATACAGGGGGATGTATGGTGTAACAGAAGGATTTATAATGTCAACTTTGCATTGTTATGAAACACACCCCTGAGCAGAAATGGCTTCAGAAACAATTTAAGAACAAGGAGAGTGTGAAATTGAGGGAAAAAAGCCTGCTGGGCTTAGCAGAAACGTGGCCATGATGCTCTCAATTACCAATTGGACCTTCACTAATTAGGAGAAGAGAGAGAGATTAATTAGCAAAAGAGAGAGACGCACAAGGGCCTTGGAGCCTCATCTCAGTTTAGAGAAGGCAGTGATCCTCAGGGTAGTCGGATTCAAGACTGTTAAAAGATATATCGCTCATGGGATGTCACAGCTCCCTTTTCAGCATTGTTGGAACATAAGGGCCTTCCATCTTAGCAACTTTAAGACCTGTGGACTTCAACTCCCAGGATTGTGGCTCAGTGGCTAAGATGCTGAGCTTGTCAATCAGAAAGGTTGGCAGTTCGGTGGTTTGAATCCCTAGTAGAGATCTTTTGCATGAGCAGGGCGTTGGACTAGATGGCCTCCAAGGTCCCTTTCAACACTGTTACTGTTAAAAAAAAGTCTTCAAGTTGCCCAGGTGGGACACCATTGACTCAAACCAAAGCAGCTTTACTTAGAAACATGGCCTCCATATGTCAGTGTAAGCCTTTGTATGTACAGCTTTGTTAAGCAAAAACATTAATGGCCCTTCAAAACTGTGCATTGTATACGTTTAATTCAATCTATCCTGGCAGTTAGAACAATTAATCAGTGGAACGACTTGCCTCTAGAAGTTGTGAATGCCCCAACGCTGGAATTTTTAAAGAATATGTTGGATAACCATTTGTCTGAATTGGTGTAGGGTTTCCAGCCTGAGGAGGAAGTTGGACTAGAAGACCTCTGAGGTTCCTTCCAACTATTCTGTTTTGTTCTATTGTATTAACCCATACAGTGGCTGTAGTATTGTTATTTATCCTTCTTATCATCTTTACTTCACCCCGTTTATTGGTATTATCACTACTATTATCCTCTGTGTTGCTTTGCAGGCATACCAAGTAGTTCTATACTGGAGACAAGTTCTTTACATGTCTTACCACATTTGTCCAAATAAAGTCTTCAATTCGATTCAATTCAATAACAGCGCCTTTATATACGACATTTGATCTCTGTCTAGTTAATCGTTCAGGGCAGCAAAGACGTAACTAACACTTGTGCGTGTCTCTGTTCTGCTCCATCCAGATCGCGAGAAGAGTGATAACTTTGCTGAGAAGAGACCTCTCCTTGCTGTGTGCAAAAGCATCGGATCTTCTGGGTAAGATGATTACATCCAGAGGGGGGTTTGCTCTGTGGCCTTGTTGGCTTGTTATAATAAAGACAGCAAGGAGCTCAGTTGAGCCTTAATTGGCTCATTGTGGCAAATCCTGTGTGGGCCAGGGCTTGTTCCTATCTGATGTAGAGTGTGAACCTCTGAATGAGTTGAATTTGGGCCAGAGATGACTCCTCTTTATGTCTCCAAAATAGGTCTGCTTTCCTTCATAATAACATACATATTTCTGAACAAATGTCACCACCCTCGCCCTTCTAATTAATTACGGTCTTTCCTCCTATAACTTTTCCAATTTCTGTAATTGTAGTTTGTGGATAAAGATGGAAAATACAGGTAGTGCTTGCTTTACAACCACAATCCGGCCCAAAATTTCAGTCGCAAAGTGAAGACAGTTGGTTAAGTCAATATTGCCTCATATCTTTCTCGCCACGGTTGTTAAGTGAATCTCTCCATTTGTTAAGTAAGTCACAGAGTGGTTAAGTTCGCCTGAACCGGAGCGAACCGGCTAAATGCCACCTCTGGGTTTGCGGAACTGGGTATGTGTAGTTTAATGAAAAGAAGGACTAGGGGAGATATGATAGCAGTCTTCCAATATCTCAG